ATTTGCTAATTAGCAGCTGATCAAGAGAGTTTGCATGCTATTTCTTTGCCACCTTATGGTGCAATCCTCCCTTTATCTATCAGCTGTTGAGATATATTTGGACATGGATTTAGTGCTCTTATGGAATGAGGTTAAACTCATGTTTAGAATGTCTGAACTTTAACCCTGTCCAGATATTAGTTATATCAACCAATATCAGGCTTCCTTTGTGTTATATATTAGCATACTTGAAATACTGCCTTTTGATTGGTCCATCTGACGGCGGGAAAATTCAAGAAGCCGTCATTGGCCACGAGCCACGAGCAGCCACTATAAAAGAGGCTGCCGCAGCTCCGCAGTAGTTCAGTTTGTACAGAGACAAAATAAAGAGCTGAAGTCACACTGGTCTCGAGTCGATCTTTCCCGCGACTTAACACTTTGAATACACTGGTGTGAAAGATTTGTACAAAACCAGAATGAATTTTTCCATGTGTCAAAAATTATTGGCCTTCCTATCAAGCTCCAGCCCTGTCCCACACCAAAAAGAGTGATTGCAAGTGGGATTTTGTTTAGTTATCACCTCATCGTTACCTAGGGAGTGAAAATGGAGAAGAAATGAATGATGGAGAAGAGGAGGGAAATAAAATCTCACTATTAGCCATGGTGACAGTAGTATAAACCTCTAAAACTTGATCGTACCACTGTGGATCTCCTATCAGTCTGGAAAGTGGAGGTAAGATGCACCATGTTTGAAACTAGAAGGATGGCTCTCCCTGGTTTCACTGGGTCATCATCAGACATGTGCTGCTGGTACAATGCAACAGCTAATTGGATCATGTGACCATGAGCATGGCCAATTCCAAAATAAAACCAATTAACATTTATCTCCCTTTCCAAGGCAAGACACATTGCAAAGCAATGGTCCTTCCTCTCCCTAGATAGTCCTAGACCTAGAGAGTGTCCCTCCCCGATCTTGAAGCCTCTTATAAAGAAGTTAGGGAGTCTGTCCATAGCGCTCAGAGTCATTTCCTGAGAGACCACAGTGTAAATCTGTTTACTCTATACATCACTCAATAAAACTAAACTCCCTAGAGGGATGACTCTCAGGTCATCGTACTGAGGGTTGCAACATTGCAGTACCATTGGTTAAAAGCAAGCAACCCGATCAAACAGAAAAGTTTATACTGCTGAGTTTATAACAGCAGTTTGTTTATTTTTTTTAAAGTAAACTCTATTAACTGAATTCTTACTTAAATGAAAATGTTGCAAACAGTTCAGTAATTGTAAAAAATGCCTTCAGTCTTACACTGTCTTGGAATTCTTGAGTATTTTAAATAAATTCTTAATAGCATTGTGGGTTTTATTAGTGGTATTTTTACTAACTCGACTCCCCACTTCACTTCCTTATGCAGACCAGACATATATGCAGCAGTGGCAAATTCCAAATGTCATCCTGCACTGCTTAAACAAATTACTTGGCTTTTCTTTAGCATTTATTTTTGAGTCCAGTGCTGAGAATAGCAAAACGTTTATACGTAACATTTTTCCATTCTCCTCCTTAATAACAAATAGCCTAGTGGAGCAAATGGGATTGTCATAAAACTGCCTGATTTCCCCCCCTTTTATCTGTCCCCAAAAGTGACAAATATGATTGGAGAAGGGCAGACCATGTAGGTTTGAGGTCATTATTCCTTGAAAGAAAATGGTCAGCTGTTCGTTCGATATTGAGGGGGTGAACGATAAGATACCAACTCACTCGTGTAGCTTCAGTGAAATTTTTATTCGTCTCCCACACCACCACAACAGGTAACAGCAATCAAATTATGTTTAAAGTCAGCTCTAGATTTTGTTGCAACCCAGAGCTGTATTTATACATGTTATATCTTGGATAATAACATAATTACTACAACCACCTTCGGGCTGCCTTCGCTGCCTAACATCCGACATCCTTAAATTAAAGAAACATGGTAACTGCACTTTTCTCCTGTTCGATGAATCCATGCACCCCTGTGACAATTCACCCAATCCCCCATTTGCCCCGCACCATTATTACAACACCACCCTCTTGACATCCAGCCATGAATCATCATTATTGCACCGCTCCTTGTCAGGAAGTCGATGTCAGTCATTTGAGGAATTTTCATCATATCGCCAACGTTGTAACACAATCAATGTAAGGTAAGTAAAAGACTAGGGTCGTATCGCATCTCAGCTGTCTTGGCTCCAGTCTGTTTTTCATTGGAGTCGTGACAAAAATTCAGGGTGGCCTTCCCATATTATTTTCACAACAATGAAAAATATTTTATTTCCTACTGACAGTGCAACCAGAAATAAGGATTGCACACAAAGGACAAGCAAAGAAACAGAGAAGGGCTTGAAATTAATGGTAACAGTAGGCCTCACTATGGTAACAAACACTGTTCCCAATTCTAAAACTTGGATAACTTATTTCCCAGATTGATGCCATCAAGCCATGAATATTCCTTTCTGTGTCTGGTAGTCATTTCAGAAATATTCAGATTGGTGAAGAACGTTTATCATTGCACCATGACCCTAAGAAATGTGCTTAGGATTTTAATTTAACACAGGGGAAAGAGGGTTAACACATAATCTTGCAGTGATGTAGAAAGTTAGCATCCACCCCTCTCCTAGAAGAATGAAATATTATAGGAAACATTAAAAAGGCAGAATATTTTCCCTAAAAGAGAAATAGAAATCTTAAGGGACACAGAAACTCAGCCCCAGCAGCCAGCTTATCTACAACACAAAAGACTTTCACCCTCAAGACATGTTAGGATTAGCCCTCACTCAGATCCAAACCAGGACAAAGCCATTAAGCCATAATAGGAATTGCCCAAAGCCCCTTCATTACATCACCCAGCAAGATTCAACCAAGCCTGGGACTCAAGACAACATACAAAGCTACCCCTGCATGGCCCCATGGGAGTCTGACAGCCAATCGGGATACATTTCTTGCCACAGCAACAGGAAGCAAGTTCAAAGCCCAACAGAGGGTATAAATCTCTCTCCCTCTCTCTCACTCTCACCCATGTGCTCAATTTTGCCCTGGACCTCAAAACATGTGGTCCTGCTGTCCACCATTAAATCATCTTTCCAAGCAGTCTCCATGTTTCCAGTGTCTTTCTTCCCACTTGGAACTGGACCCAGATGGACATTTCTTCCAACAATGAGAAATAATTCTCCTGTAGCCTTATTTTATTACAGTGGCAACTTAGGTCAAGTTTGGACAAGAGCTGTAATTTTCAAATGATTTGATAAATGTGAAAATAATTCTAGTGCTTGCGAGTAAAATCCCCACTAAACAGTAGTTGAAACAGCACTCCATGTAAAGGCACATAAGGTAGATGCCAAACATGATTCACTTCTGAAAAACATGGTTAATGATCATGTAAATTCAGCTAGTGCACAGCTGCCACTTGCTGAGAATTCATCATGAGCTTCTCTGCTTGTTTTCATCTTCACCTTTAAGCAGAAACTTATAACTATTACAATTGTTATGTTATTTACTAGTTTTATTCTTGGTAACCCTATCTGAATTGAAGATATCTGCTCTTAAGTCCTGATTATAATAGATATGATATATAACCCATAGTTGTAAAACAGTGATAGAACAACTTAACAATTCGTAGTAAATGGAAGAAAAAAGAAGCATTATTTGGTCTATTTTCCTCATTATGGTATCAAGACTATTAAGTCGAGCAAGATACTTTATTTACAGAAGAATTAAATTAAACTTGAATTTGGGAATGACATTTTCTATGAAATGACAAGAAAGGAATATATATTTTTCAGAATTACAGCTCAGTGTTGTTCAATAAAGCATAGTATATCAACCCAGCTTATCCACTAGGAAGAGTTGAGTTTGGGAGTAAGAGTTGCTGGATAGAAAGTATCATATTTTAATTCCATTGTAGAGTGCTCTTCAATTATACTGTCCAAACTATATAATAAACACAATGTGATACCACTGTGTTTGCAAATATAAACATCAGAAGCAATGATTGCTATGGAAACAGGAACAAACAACATTTAAAAATAGTTTGTTCTACACATTTTCATTACCATCATTTCAGCTAAAACTACACAAAATATTTTAGCATAACATTGCTTAACATAAGCAATGTACAGTGTGTGTGAAGCTGTAATCCTTTGGCCTAAGCTTATTTACAACTAAAGAGTTTGCTTTGTCAAACTTCAATGATGTACTGCATTGGTAATTTATAAAATTGTAACCAGAATATACCAAGTGTTCTTTCCTATTTTAGCCCCCATAGGTAGATGTGAACAAGCAGCAGTAATCTGAACTAAATCTGTGATTATGATTTGCCATATATTAGATATATTACTGAGGTGACCTGGAACTAAAGCAATTCCAGATCACCACAGTAATACAGTACATTTTCTTTTACTTTTCTGTAATTGAATATTCATATAAATTATCTCAACCATTGAAGACTTATGACTTGATTATCTTTAGTAAAATACACTTACAATTACTGAATTTATTTTGAACATAGCTATGTTCCCAAAGCTCTACTTTGAAGATGTGTTGTTAAGTGTCCTTTAAAGGCATGGCATCCTGAAATCTTACCCACAGCTCATAACTGAGATTGAACTTAGTTTGCAGCTGCTGTTTTCCATCTTCTCCCAACACAAGGCTTGCTATATGCATAAATTGTAGTGTTTTAGGAATGACCACAGAAATGAAACCCTTGGGCACTGGAATCTGCCTAGCTCCTATTTTCTATTTTTTGATACCTAGAAACTGTACTTTTAGATACAATTGATGTGTGTGTATGTGTGTATGTGTAACCCTGTCTTTTAAAAATGAAGTCTAATTTTACCTACCTGGTCAAGATTTGCAATGATGCAGTAATTTTAGTGTGAGATAAATTAGCACTGGCCTTTTATTAGAGAAGTATGTTGTCTGTATTTTTTGTTTTGTAAAAAATATTTCATGGACTTCAGTACCATCACAATGATTTATTTGAGGAGGCTAAAACAATTAAATGTTTCATTAATAGATTTTGGATCAACATCAAAAGGAAATTTAAAAAAAGAATTACAATACTTACTTGAGAGTCTTTGCTTAAACTTTTAATCCCGAGTCAGCTGATTAATAATTAGGGTCTTTTAGGCACTGCATTCCAAGGCTTTCTTTTGCAAATAATTTGGGCAAATACTTATGCTAAAAATAAAACTGTTTATATCCTTGTACAGAACATAGGAAAGACTTACTGCTCTGAGACATATGCTGAAAAGTCTCATAACTTGTCCTTGATACCAGTTACAGAGAAGGGTGAAGTTGTTGATATTTGCAGTATTTTTAAAATGAAGTTGCAGGCAAATATAATACAGTTCCAGTCTGAGATTCCATTGTGCAAATTAGTTCCCCCTGGTCTTTTAACTAAACATTATATAAGCTGCAGTGCTATTGAAAAGAATAATTCTACTGACAAACATTAATACATATGAATATCCTTTAATTTGTAGCCTCATTGCTAATGCTTAAGAATTAGCTTCTTCCACATATGTTGGTATAGGATTAGTTACAGGAAATACTTTTTGCTTTAGGTCTGTATTAGCATAAACTCCGCTTTCATCTTGCCATGTGTTGATCCCATGTCTCCTGTAATCTGCTGTGTCAGTAAACTGGGAATGACATTTTCTATGTACTACAGAGTACCCGCTCGTATCAGGTGTAACCTAAAGGGAAAGTATTCATGTATATTATTACTCAAAAGAAAGTTTTAAGGAGCAAACTTTAACATTGGCAACACTGTATACCAAAAATAAATTTAATCAGTTGACATATTTCTCTTCCAATAACATTTTAATTATCTAAATTTCTCAAATTAAGAAATGTGTATGGAAAAAGCTATGTGAGAGGCAACATTTTTAAACAGATTTTCCAAAATAGCAATTCTGTGCTCATCTCTAATGCATATGATTTTCAGGGTCTGTAAGAACTGGTTGTAGTACTACATAATACCATCCAGTTTTCAAAACAAGCAAAATCTTTGCTACCTATGAAGAACACAGGGTTCTCTCAGTCATGGCCGTATCTGCAGACAGTTCTCAAGTTATGACCACTATAGAGACCAGAAAATGAAAGTCAATCATTGTGATGCAGTCATTAAGTGAAGCATCATGTGACTGCACCCAATTTTTCTGACATTTTTGCCATGTTCATTAAATAAACTACTGCAGTTATTAAGTGAGACATCACACGATCATGATTTTTGCCATCTTCTCCATTGATTTTGTTTCTCAAAAGCTGACTCAGAACCTGGCAATCATGTGACTTCAAGACACTGCAACTGTCCTGAGGGCAAGCTAGTTTCCGTGTGCCTGGATCATGATCATGTGACTTTGGGAATGCTGAACAATAATTAAAAGTGAGGACCAGCTGTAAGTACTTTTTTTTTTGCACTAGCGTAATTTAGAACACTTGCTAAAAGAATGGTCATTAAGTGAGAATTACCTGTAACATTAAGATATATTATGTATCATTTACTAAAAGTCACTATGGCAATTTTGTCTGAGCATACATCATTTTATTTTTGCAATTTCTTTTTTAAATTTTTTTTTGTCTTTTTATTATGTAAGTTACTCAAACTAATTTGGAGTTCAGCAACCTTCCAAACTTCATTAATTAAATAAATAAAACCAGACCTAGCACAAAACAGGAAGAGTCAGCTGTAATGAGAAAAGCAGGTTTTTGCAAACAGAATCTCAAAGCGCTTAGGAATTGATGGGTCATTTTTCTTTGGATAGAAGAAAGGCTTGGGTAATAAAGAGCATAGCAGTGAAGCTAATGGCTGGGAGGCGATACAGAAGTATATCCACGAGGCATTAAATTCAAGGAAGTCGGGTATCTAATGCCTAGGAAACTTGGGAGGAAGTAGGTAAAGCAGGGGTATCCAACCTTGGCAACTGGAAGACTTGTGGACTTTAACTCCCAGAATTCCCCAGCCAGCCCTGCTGGGAATTTTGAAAGTTGAAGTCCACAGGTCTTCAAGTTAACAAGTTGGATACTCTTGAGGTAAATTAAAATGAAAAATAGAAAGTAAGGAATAAGGATGTGTGGGAACAGAAACTGTGAAATTTTAAATTAGATACGGTTGGAAAAAGAAAGAGGCTGCTCAGCCAACAGACTACCAACAGAAACTTCAGGAAAGCAAAATATGAGAAATACTTTTTATAAATTAACTTAAAAGAAATACATTTACAGTTGATGGAAACTATTCCTGGTTTTAATATGAACAAAATGTATGAAGATGACCATGTGTGAGAAAAAGAGAGCTATTCCATTAGAATAAATGAAGATATATTTTTCTTTTGCCATGGTTACAAAAAGTATGATCACAAACTTATTTTAATTTATTTTAATAAAGGAATCCAAACTGAATCATTATGCAACAAAATGCGTCTCTGTTCATTTATTGGCCTTGTGCAATCTGAAAGGTTCTTCTTTAAAAAAAAATTACAGATATACACAGACAGAGAAACATGACAATGTTCTCCTGATGTTTTCAATTGTAGGAGCTTTATTATATAATTAACTTTTTTCAGAATCATAAAAGTAGATGCCAATAAAGAACACAATGTAATTTTGTAATCCAAATAAGAACCACTATCCTAGGTTTGATTTTGCAATGTATCAGAGGCATGGAAATAATGCATTATTTTACAAATGTTACTAGAAAACAATGCAAATCAAAGAATAGCAAAAGGTATCCTTTATTCTTTTATTTCTATGTTAATGTTTTGCGTTCTCATTTTTGTCTTCAATCTTATCTTCTATCTCAGGCCTGTCAAACTGGTGGCCTGCAGGCTGGACACATCACATTCAGGGCATGTCGACCCCAGCTCCGCAAAGGCAAAAAACTTTGCGATACGTCACAATCTGGCCCATGATGTGATCGAGTTTGACACTCGTGTTCTACCTTATCTATCATTTGTAGTTATATGTAGCTTATCAATGGTTTCTAGTATAGCCCAGAGTTCTATGTCCTATACTTTGTAGTTTGTATAGTTTTCTTTAGCTTTATTTCTACTTTGATTTGTTGTTAATAGAATGCTTTTCTTCTTCAAGCCGATACCTGACATGTCACTTATGCAGCTTGTTGAGTACTAGGAGGATTTGGATTATTCCAGATTCCAGTTCCCCAGATTCAGTCCCTGAAGTTGTATTGACCATAAATGCTGGTCCCCATTGAGGTGTCAAGGCTGGGGATGGTGGCAATGCTTCTGACTCTGTTGTGCCGTTTTCCATTCTTTAGGACACTCTGCCGCTGGCCCCAGTCTAACTCATCTATAAGATAAGCCAACTCAAATATTGTACTACAGATTTTGGACATTGCTTAACTGTTTTCAAAATGGAATCTGCTAAATTATAGAGTTCGAATGAAACCTTACATTCAATTGTCATAATAGTCACCCAATTGTAGCTGCTTATTAAAATCCTGTTTTGCATAACAGTCCAATATTTCCCCATATTCTTTTTATTCCCATATACTTACATACGGTATATAGTCATATGGTGGAACATAGTCTGATCGGTATGATGTATCCATAAACCTGTAACACATAAATCATGTAGTAAGACTAGCTCCACACTATTTTTTTAACTATATTTACAAGCTCATTAAATATAATTGAAAATGTAGCTAATCTTTTTCTTAGAAACCAAAATCAAAGCAATTTTTCTCAAGTGTATTCAAAGCAATAAACATTTTCTAGCCGTTATTATATTTCCCTATCATAAATTATTTCTGCACAGGTCAGTTTTTCTTTTTTCCTTTTTCTTTTTTTGGAGAAAACTTGCTATAGGACCTGAACATATAAAACATAAACATTTTCAAACATCTATTTGATTAATTAATACTTCACACAATGACAAATTGGAGTATTCTTAGATGATTACAAATATTTCTGAAGAGAATTATATACATATGAGAAGTCTCACTGTTTACATTGAGTTAAATATTTCTATATCTTTAGCCTCAAAAGTTCTCACTAAGGCAAACAGAATAAATGTTCTACTGTCCCAGCTATGTCTTCAAATTCATAGAAACAATTACCACAGTACAAGGATGAAGTTGGATTTGAGATATGTTTAAAGCTTTCATAACTGAGTACCAAAGGGATCTGTGACAAACAAATTTCCATCTCATCTCTCTTTACTCATTTCTTTCACACAGTCTCAGAAGAAGAAAGCATGAGTACAATAAATGTGGCTTCTCACATTTTAGAGTTTATCATAAACCTTATGATAAAACTTTTTGTGGTTGTTAGTACATGTTTTGCAAGAGACCATGTCAATACATAAAAACAGAACATACCCGTATCATCTTGTAATAAAGATCATTTTGTACCACCTTTTCTTTGAAAAATGATCTCACTTAAGTTTCCATTTCAAGCCAGTGACTAAGTTTTGGAACAATTTCCAAGTTACAATCAAGGCAGATGGTCCATCTCTTGCAAGCAAAATAAAATCTAGTTTTTAGGAACTAAGAAGGAAGCTTATGGCAGCTGGACTTAGCTTCTTCTTCCTTTTCTTTCTCTGTTCTGTTTATTATTCTTGGTAGAGCAAATATATCATATTTCTATGGAAACAGAACTGGTCAACAATCAGTTCAATTTACAAACATCACTTCCTGCACAGAGTGATGTTAGTGACATTGATAATGTTGGGGATGCATTCTGTGCTCCAGCAGCCCACCATGGCTTCCGAAATCTAGTTATCGGGTTCCCCCACTCCCTCCTGCTAGGAGATATGGAGTTAAAAAATCCAGAGAACTACTAAATTGCAGTAAAGATTTCTGCCATCTGGTGGTTACCTAGATTTCTGCACCAGATTTCTGGTGGCTCTACTTTTGTGGAAAATGTACTCTGAACATTGCTGAAAAGTTAGGCTGACCAACTTTAAACATCCTTAGAAGATGACTTTTCTGTTTCATCCTGACTTCAAGTCTAGGTAACAGCAGGACAGAAGTGCAATCCAATTAATTTCCTTATAAGTAGTGACCTTTTAATACCATAACACATAATACATTTCTGTAGCATCTTTGTGGATTACTATAGTACCAATGTTCTTATTTTCAGAACTGATTTTAAAAATGGAAAAGTACTTGATTCCTTGGAATTGTTTCAAGGGTCCTTATTTTGTTGACCATATTATATAATAGTAAATTAGTCATTGTGCTATTGGTTTCAATACCTTCATTGTGTTGAAACAATGTGCAAGCAAAAAAAAAACTAGATAATTGAGATGGTTATGCATTTTTCTTTTCACCTAATTTAGAAACAGGTGTAGGAAGGCCAAAACCACCCCACGTCATTTTGACTCCCTTTCCTTCCTTTCTACCTAATGAACTCCAACAATAAAAACAAAAGCTTAAGCCTTTTGACATCTAGGCTGAAAGCAAAGCATGTCTTAACACAGTCACCGACTTCACTAAATAAGAAAATCTCCTCGAGATATTATTACTTCTTCATTTCAGTAATAAATTTCCTTACATAAATTCTTCACCCCAAAGTCACCCCCTTGACTCACCAAAAATAAAAGATTGCAAAACTTCACAGAGAGCTAAGCTGAATTTCCTACCAGGCCAGATCCAGGGATGGCTTCCAATAATCCCTAGAAGCAGGCTGAGTCCACAAACTCTCGAAGAACAATAGAAGGACTTATTTATAAAAGTACTTCTCTAAAGCTATGATTCATGGCCACCTGTGATTGCTATGACTGTCTGTCATGCTCTCAAATTTCACCTTTTAGCAGTATAGCTTTTAGCAACTGTCCTACGTTCTTTGGAACAGCAGGCTCGGAATGGATCAAGAATTTCTTCTAACACAGGGAAAAAGAGGTTACTTGACCAAATCAAGGAAGACCCTGAATATACAGAAGAAAGGGCCTCCGGCATTCCCGCAAACACACCAGCTGCGAACTAGAGACTGTTCTTCATTTAAAAATCCAAACATCCTAGTAGTGGTTTTGCTAAGTGGAGCAGCTGCAAGCAAGCAATCCAGCACAAGAAAACCTCCCTAGAGAGCTGTGGGAAAAATCAAAGAACTTTCTTTGTTTTTATTTCTGATCTGTCTTTCCATTCCTTCCCACCTTTCTTCAAAGCCGTGAATGTATTTGCAAGTCAAGTTCAACCACAGGCATAGGAAACTTGAGTTCACACCATGATGGTTATGCAGTACAAACCCAGCAGCTTGTTATGGGCAAAGCTCCTTAGAAGCAAAATCTCCTAAAGGTCTAAGAAAAACTTATGGTATTGTATTAAATTATTATTAGTAAGACAAAGAAGTCAATCAGAAGTCATAAGAAACCAGTTTCATTAATTATCAATTTTCTAGTATAAAAGAAAAAGATTGAAATAATTGAAACAGAAATTTAAATGTTCTGGTAATACCAAGAATAAAAGTATCAGATACTTTTAAGCACCAAGTTAATACAATGAGGTACAAATATAGGAACTTTTATCATATTACAGGTCTCAATAAGCATCAACATGAAGCACAACAAAATCTGAACTTCATAGTAAAACTAAAATAATTTGCATATATGTATATACAAACATTTTAAACTTCTCTGGTGGGTGGCGTGGTAATACAGCACCAAAACCTGTTTCAGGTAGCCCTGTGTCCCTGAGGGGGAAAAAAAAGAGAGACAGCTTTCAGATTGAACAAAAATTTAAAGGAAAATGCAAGGTTGGTTTTAGAGCCAATTGGCAATGCTGGATGGACTGATGGACAGGCAGCCTTAAGTCAAAATCAATTCAAGGGGCTTTACAAAGGCCAAAGGAGCACATAAGATATTATATATCTTATGTGTTTTTTTGTTTCTTTACTGTCCTTTCCAGTGTTGCACTGCCCTCTACTGGATGAATTGTGTCAAACTCTTTAAAAAAAACTAAAAAAATCATTACATTAACTTTGTAGTTCTCAGGATAATTATGTTTAAAATCAGTTACTTGTTAGTTAATGCTTTGTGGCTGTTAATGAACTGTAAAATATACAAGAGATTAGATGGAGTAATAAAGGGTGAATTGCTCTCCATGTTTTTAAAAACAAATATATGATATTATTTAAATAATTATAGATGTAAAAATATAAGAAATACCTGTCAACAACAATTGTGTGAAAGCCATCTTCATCCAGCAAAGGTTTCCAAACCTCTAGTTCTTTATATTCTTTTTTGCTACAGGGAGATGACAGATAATCTTGATATGTTGCTATCCATTTCTAAAAGGAAATGTTAGAACAAGGCATCATTATGTAATTCAAATGCAGTACAAAAATATTTTTTTTAAAGTACTCTAATAACCAACAAGATATCTGTTGAAATCTTGGAGATATAACTTCACTCTTATAATTTATGCATTTCCACCCCAATCAAATATTTTTAAACTAATTAATTTTTTTATTATATAGTAAAAATATATATGTTCTATTCTTGTAACATCAGTGTTTGGCTAATAAATTAATTAATGATGAGTTGGTCATTTTCCATTCATACATAAAGCATCCCAGACTGGTTCTCTTTCATGACTGAAAATAAACTTTGCAACTAAATGATAATAAAACATCTACAAAATTGCACAATCTGGATGTGTAGGGGTATTCTTGAAATCATTGGTATTGGTTGAAATTAATGTAAGTGGTTTTAATACCAATCTCGAGTCCTCTAAGTCTAAAACACACTATTTATTAACTTAATAACAATATACAGGTGTATTCTATGAATGACTATGCTGTGTGGTAATGTATTAATAAATAAATATGAATGTGATACATCAACATAAACAAACATACTATCAACAATAAGCTATCTTACTTGATCCATGGTTCCAAATCTCCAGTAAGTAGACTGACATAAGTTTTTAGAACCCAAAGGAATGTCATGTATATCATAATCCTTAGGTTCAGTCTCTCTATTCTGGGACCTTTATAAGAAATAATAAATAGTAATACTAAAGCATATTTAAAAGTTATTAATATCTACTTTACTACTTACATAATATTACAAGTCAAACCCAAATATGTGTATGTGCAGAGGCGATTTGATTTTTATTTTAATCAAAGTCCCATACAAGACCACTTCTCAGAAAGTGTTAAAAGTCTCCAAATAAATCTGAAATCAAAAACAAAATAAACCCAAGCCCAAAAATTTGAAAAAGCTAAGCTTCATATTGAAAACAGCCAGAATGAATGAAACCTTGTGGCTTAGTCACATCTGGTGGAATTTTTTTTTAAGAGAGAATGATCTTAAACCACATCAGACCAGTAAACAGTATTTTTTTCTTACCAGCCAGACACAAGAGTGGGTCTCCCATAATATGCTGAATTGGAGCGCAAGGTCAGCGCTCCTTTGCGCTCCATCACATCTGGTGGCCCTAATTCCATCTTCAAATTATTTTGGTTTTTCACCTCTTCTACAGGACCACTATATCTGAAATTAATTCAGTATTATTTCTCCGACTGCAGGGCAGTTCACAGCAGAATAACCACATTCATTTGGGATGAGGGTATTATAACTAAGAAGTTAATCTTGAGACCAACACTGCACTCCCTCTGTATGATTTCTCAAAGGTCCAAGCTTTCACTGGCTTTCTCTCAAGACAACAAATGAAATGAACAGCAAGGAAGCCAGGAAACCTTAGCAGTCTTCATTCTTTGCTGGATACATTAGTCTCCATGGTGACTCCTGATGCAAAATAACAAACCTCAAAACTATTCCGCCAAGAGGCCGGAACTAATTTCTGTTCATTGTAAGTCAAGGGGAAAGCTACAAATGATTTTTACAAGGTAAATACTATGGAAATATCCAAAATATCATGCCAAGCTTGCTATCAACACTTATTGTAATGGAATTGTGAATATATTCTCGTCATTTCATGGGCAGAGTCATGCTGAATTCAACCTTTTCTTCTGTAAACAATCAAAGTGTGCATTTAACAGTACTTTTTTTAAAATGAAAAACCCTCGAATTCTGTTTTTTTCCCAAAAAGCAAACTCAGTTTTAAAAGTTAGTGCTCTCAAATCTGTGCTGGACAAATCTGGAGGATTACCTGGAGAAACAATCATAGGATTTTTTGGATCAGTTTTCTGCCATCTGATAGTCACCTCAACTTTTGCAGTATCATTTTAGAAGCTAACCACCACCATGGTAGTAATATTCCGTGGCAAAAAAAGTTCATACTGAATATGCATACATTAACTGTTCTCTTAAAGGGTAAAACTTAATCTTCATAAAAGGAAAAAGAAGCTGAGGCCCAACAGATCCTAGGCAGGTATTAGCTTCTTTTCTGAGCTTGGCAGATCTGGGGATAATTCTATTGCCATTACACATATTGTAGATAAATTTGCTTTGGTTTCCTATGGAAAAGAATCACTAAAAAACATATATTAGCAGATTGGAAAGGATCTGTATGATAGCTGCCCGGATTTAAATCTTATCAGACAGGAATGATTAGAACTAGCAAGTACCTCTGATAACCAGACTCTTTGCCCTGAAAGGCTTTGTAAGTGGCAACAAGTACCTTGAACACACCCAGAAGGCAACCAATTGCAGCTCGTGGAGCAGTGGTATCATATGGGCATACCACAGCATGTCCATTATTGCCCTTGCCTACAGTCCTATATTCACAATATGACAGGCTCAGTGATAGGGTGCCAGTGAAATTGATGCCGTATCTCCCTGCAATCAATCAATCAATCAATCAATCAAGGCCACTTAAAGGCCCACTTTATGTTCTCATTTTGTGTTTTTCATAACAAAAAAACTGAAATACCATTGGTTGAATAACTAGTAAGTGAAATTATTATTGAAAAAGATCTGTTTCCCCACCACCCTCAAGAAACTCCGTGGAGAAAGTATAGCGGGGCAGGGAGGCCTGGAAGGACAGTGGGATGGCGGAAGGAATCTTTCCCCTGCTTGAGAACCTGCCACCGACCCTTCAGAGCAGGGCTCTCCAACCTTGGCCTCTTTAAGACTTGTGGACTTCAACTCCCAGAATTCCTCAGCTGGCTGAGGAATTCTGGGA